AATTGTTCGTGTTCGTTCGGTTCGTTTACAGACCTAGAGAGGGATGCCGATGAGATTTTTGAGAAGAGAAGGAATTTTTGAGGTTTGGATTGAAGTTTAAAGTTTTGGGATTATAATTTTAGAATGGAAAATATTAAATATTAAATTAAAAAAGTTTAAATTTAATAACCAAAATAGAAGTAAAAAGAAAGTTGAGTGATAAATTGAGTAATTTAACCATAGAAAATTAGAGGCTTGCCCCTGCAATCAGCCATTAATTTAGGGAAAATAACGAACCCAGACGCTTTATTCATCCAGACAGTGCCAGTGAATGAAAACCCCCAACAAATATTTTCCATCATTAAATAAGATTTGAAATTATGAAATCAAAACAAATACCCTACAGCAGCAAGAAGCAAGAGAAACTAAAGAAGAAACACAAGGAATCATAAGCATGTGAAATTGAGATTGAAATTGCTAATTAAACTTATCTACGAAAACATTTTTGGGTTTTGATTTTTGAATGAATCAAACCGTACATCCACAGAAAACGAAGAAGAAACAGAGCATGGATAGCAAAGCTAAGGATTCCAAAACCGTCACGAAAGTCCACAACACGTCATCCACGATCGAAAAATCCTGCCACCTCAAGCTCCAACCACCGCTCAAATACGACAAGTTGATGTCCGGCCACCGGAAATACCACGTCCGAGGGGTGAACTCGGACGCCAGCCGCCATATCCACCACATGATCTGCCCTTTCTACTTATAATTTACCCGGGGGGATTTTTTTTTTGGTTATATTTGGGAGTCTTCTTGCTTAACATTTAAGTTGTATTTAATACATTTTTAACTGGATATATATTTTTTAATTTAAAGCGCTTATTTAAATGTTGTACGCTAGATTTTTGTAGAAGTCCACGTGATACTGCAGGGATAAGATCCGAGTGCCCTTGAAATAGGGTTAATTAGGATTCTAGTCCTTAACATTAGAAGTGGATTTTGTTTATTGTTAAATTAAAAGAAAAACTTTAAAAAGCATTGTAGAGGAATGGAATTCCCGTCGCACCAGCGTCCAGGCAGTAAAGAATCTCATCGATGCTACAACTCATATTCGAGAGAATGTCATCATGCATAAACATTTCGAATATGCTTGAACTACGAGCTCTCAAACTTCATATGTCCTCAATAATTGCTCCCATAGGGTGTATATTAACATCGTCAGCTTCTATAGTCACTCTAGCAACCAATAAACTGATTTTAATAGCATGGAATGCAAACTCCAAGTGAGTCGTAAGTCCCAAAATTCACTCACCGGCTCCACTTGTCAAGAATTACAAGTGGATTTTCAAGTCAAGGAGTATAGGAATTAAAAGTCAAAGGGCTAAATTTCAAAATTTTGATGAGTGGAGGGATCGAAGGCAGAAATAGTACAAGTTCATTCTATGTTGAGGAATAGTGGTGATAAAGACACAGCAATGAAGATGATCCGCACGTAAAAAACACGTGGAATTACTGGGCATAGGTGTGACGAAGACATTTTGGATTTTTTTTAAATACAAAACCATGAAATATCTGGTTTAAAATCAGATTTAGCACAACATTAATGCTTAAACATTAAATTTAATTTTTTTTCTTTAAAAAATTCTAAGCACTTTTCAAAGAAATATTAAATTAAAGGATTAAACCAAACCATCAAAATTTTGAAAATAAAACAATTAAGCCCCAATTTTTTTTACCAAATTAAATTAATCAAATTTTTGAATTGAGAGATTGAATTAATTTTTATATCACACTTTGAAGTTGTGTTACTTTAATAGAGTAACTCTTTAAATGTAATGAATTGTAAGCTTAGCTCATTAAGCTACTGCAAAGATGTTCAAATGTGATGCTAAGACTTGAGTCATCAGTATCTTCTCAACATGATGACAAGAACTTAAGACATCAAGAACGAGGACATGTTCATGTGCTTTCATTTAATTGTAATCGAACAAATAATAAAAAATGATAAATTATTAATTTTTTAATTTTTTAATAAATAATTAAAAATAGTAAATTATTAATTATTATTATTATTATTATTATTTTATTACAACCAAAAATCAAATCGTAGTTGTTTTTTTAATGTATTTATAGATTATTATTGTGGTGTTTAGACGTTCGATTTGTTTCATACACTCTTTTGATAATTTTCTGGTTAGATTTATTAATTTATGTTTATATTAAGTTCTATATAATATTAGAAGATTTTACTTATAGTTAAAAAATAAAAATTTTGGTAAGCTTAACGAGTAATGAGTTGAGCATAAATTTTTCTTAACGAGCACGAGTTGAGCAAAATTTTAACGAGTAACGAGTTGAGCAACAAAATTTTTTAACAAACACAAATCGAATATTGCCAAACTCGCAATGGACTTGCTCGATAAGCACCCCTATTACATATGCATATCAAAATAAAATAATATAATTATATACATATAAACTCAATTTTAATTACACTTGCGTAATAAACTCGTCAAGTGATTTCAGTAATAAAAGAAATTCTTATATCTTTTAAAAGTCTTAAATTTAAACAATTGTGTTAAAATTTAGTATCGCTCATCTTAGATTTCTAAACTATGGATCATGTGCATAAATTTTGAAACTAAATTTTAGAGTTAGGATTTAGGCCATCTTCAGCCCTCATCTCTACTCTACAACATCTCTATCTCTACTCTAAAGATGAAACATTAATTCATCTCCAGCACTATCTTTACATTACCACAAACTCTACTTTATTCACAATATTTAACTATTAGTATGTTTATTTATCTAATTTCAATGTATTTTTTATATTGAAATTTAATCTACTTGAATTTATTACATTATGTTTAATTTTTATTTTATTGTGTATAAATTACAATAAAAACATAAAAGATAGAATAAGAGAAAATAATATAACAAAAAAAAAATAAAAGAAAGTAAAAAAAACAAAAACAAAAAATCAGAAAAATAACAAATATAAATTATGTAGCTCAGCTACAATGCTGCGCCAGATGTAGAATATCCCTATAACATCTCCACATTCTAAACTCTACCTTAGAGATAAACTGGAGATTAATCTTACCCAACTTAAAACTTAATATAATTGATATTAAAAAAGAGCTAAGTTTGGGCTTTTCAAATCTATCCTAAATCTTAAATTTTTATTATAAAAGTTTGGAGAAATTGAGCTTTCTCACTCTAGGATTTAACCTTCATCAATGGAATCTTAAGAAGCTTGGAGAAGATAACTTTCAATTACTTCTTTTTGGTTTCCAGTTTGATCCCAGATTGAATCATGATTTAATTAAATAAACTAAATCGAATGTGGCACTCTTTTCCTTGATTTAAAAGATATTACGCACTCACCCGAAAAACTCTCTCTGACTCAAACAACATCACTAACAAACCTTATACATCTTAATACCTAAAAATTTGGTAATAACACAAATAATCCCTACCTATTTAATCCAAGCTTAGCTTTAGTTAAGTGACAATCATCATTTAAATTTAGAGTAAGTACAAGATAATATTTATATAAAATCTCTTAATCATTTAATAATAAACCCTCATATTATTAGTATTTACGGTGTTCGAACGCTAAACTTCAAGAGATAACAACAAATGCCTTAACTACTGAGATCACTTGATTTATACTAACTCTCCGTCTTTGTACAGCTCAATTATGTTATAACCAAACCCTGAATTCGTGCAATTCAAATTGGGCGTCCTTGTTTTGTGGCCTTAAGCTTCTAACAGACTTGTTTTGCCGATTTTTTTTAAATGAAAATAACAAACCTTCGTATGAAAGGACAGATGAAGGTTAAATTAAAAACTGAATTTTGAATAACAACTTAAACAATCGATACATAAATCTTAGACATAAAATCAATCAAAAAATCAAGATCAAAACTATGAATCATATACATAAATCTCTAAACTGAATTTTAGAGCATGAAGGTTTAATTTTAAATTTAACCTTCATCTGTCCTTTTTATGAAGGTTAATTATTTTCATCTTTTAGTTTTTAATTTCTTTAATTTAATCTTTCATATGTTTATTTATTTCATTTTTAAAATTATTATTATTATTATTATTATTATTATTATTCATGATAGAAAAATATCTTTCACAAGTTATTTTTATGTTTTTTTAATTAAAGGGATAGTGTCCAAACTTACTAGATTATAACGTCCTTAATTATTTGTAATAGAAAAACATCCTTCACAAAATTGAGTGAACAAAGTTTTTCAACATTTTCACAAATTAGTAAAAATAATTTAATTTTAAAAAATTCAACTCATTAATTTGATTTGCATTCATTCAATTCAAGAGATCACATTTCCATATTAAATTTTGTATTAGTAACTTATCGAGAATTAATATATCTCATATTTGTTAAAAAAATACTAATTTTAGGTATTCGAATTCCACTTCGGTTTGAAAAGCATACCACCGAAGTTATATTTTCAATAGTTTTTTATAAAAAGAATTTCGGAAAGATAATCTTATGGACGTACCTAATTCAAAATGAAGAATAACAATTTATTTTTCAAATTTTTTATAAAGAAATGTTTTCGAACTAAAATGATTTTGACAGAGATAATTGCATGTTTAGTTCAGTGGGTAGAGCGCAAGACTCTTAACCTTGTGGTCGTACGATTGAGTCCCCACTAAGGGTAATTTATAATGGAGGTCTTTCACGGAAGCTACTCTCAACCTGACGTTGGGGACAACCTACTACCATATCTCTCTTACCCCATTACATATGAGAATAGTGTTAGCTAAATTTTTTTTTTGGGGTCATATAACTCGTATTCCAAACTTTTTACTTAAAAAGAGTCTTTTGGGCCTAAAGTGACCATTTCCAAAGTGTAGGCTCAGCCTCACGGTGTTGGATTTAGAGCCGTAATTGGAGTATTTTCAAGAAGGAAGAAAAAAAAAACCCTAACCCTAGATTTTCCCGGCTCGTTTCTCCCACGAAACAACTAAACAAAATAGCGCGCCGTAAAGACCGTTCGATCTATTTCCACGTCATCAATCCTCTTGAATCGTCGTTTTGACGGCTGAGATTGCAGTTGCAGAGGCTACCTGTAGAGAGCAAAAACAAGCTTCCTCTCTCCCTCCCTTCTCCCAGCTCTCTCTTCCAAATCTCTGGTTTTTATTCTGCGAAAAAAAACATCAAATCTCTTTTTGAAGATGAAGTTGCTGGAAGAGATGGATTTTGAAGAGGAAAAGAAGGAGATTGGGGTTATGAAAGAGGAAGAGGTGGATGGTGAAGATGAAAGTGAAATAGACGGCGGCGAAGAAGAAGAGAACGACGACGAAGATGAAGAAGAAGACGATGAAGAGGATGATGGTGATGATGAAGTGCAGGCTATTCATTCTTCCGGTGGTCCTTCATTTCAGTCAGTTGATGACGGCGAGGATGATGACGAGGACGCCGAAGACGAAGACGATGACGGTGATGACGATGACGATGACGACAGCGACGATGATGAGGAAGGTGAAGAGGAGGTAAATTCTTTTTACTATAATAATGTGTAATTCCAGTTAATAATTGTGGTTAGTTCAAAATTATGTGTTCAGAAGCAGTTTTTTGAAGCTGAAACTGTTCAGATCCGTCCGGTGTTTTCCATTATTTGTCTATTAATCATTTGATTCTCTCGCCGCTGACTGAGGTTAAATTCTCAAATCTCGGGATTATTAAAAATCCAGCATAATTTTTCATCAATTTCTCGAAGGACTTTTGGATTTTCTTCACTTTTTCCTTGTCAGATCTATCTTTATAGTTCTATGTCGTGGAAAGGAGAATATAACTGGCGACTTTTACTCCATTAACTGTATCTTCAGACTGAAAAAAAGTTACAGCTATTTAGCCACTGATCTGTAAAGGCATAATATTGATTTAGCGTAGGTTCTAAAGCTGATGATTCATTTTGACAACAGATCGTATCAAAACATGAAACACATCATGGATAAGCACGAGCTTAATCGATAAACGACCAACACTATCTATCAATCTAATGAATCTATGATTAACCTAACCCTTCCGACCTAAACACAATACCTTCTTTGACGCTTTCTCCGTTGTTTGCTGCAAATACACCATATTTTCCAAAATTTTGTATGAAAAATCTTTGACGCTTTAGATCTAAGGCTTATTTTCATTCTCTTGTTCCTCAGTTGTGTTCATTCACCTATGGGGTCTTCTTAGTTTTATCCAAATGTTTTCTATAGTATGTAAATTCATCTGGATTCTGTTCTTTGTGATGATTGAGTGGAATTATTTTATGTGCCTTCTTCCCATAAAGCAAGAGAAATGGCGATTCCTTTTCCTTGCACTTCATGGGAAAGTCTAGCCTGTAGGTTCAATCTTTTAGTAAATAGTGATACATTTTTTTGTGAATATTTTTCCCCTGTACTTTCTACCAAACAAAAAAAATATATTGTATAGAATTGCTCAAACTCAGATGCATTTGTTTATCCCAAAAATTTCCTAGTGTCCATCAGTGGCAACTTGTTTTGTTAAACATTGGTTTTGTCATTTTCTTTGACTGTTTTGTAGGAGGATATGGGAACAGAATACCTGGTCCGGCCAGTGGTTCGTGCTGAAGATGAGGAAGATGCTAGTGATTTCGAACCAGATGAGAATGGCGAGGAAGAAGATGATGACGACGACGACGATGATGGCGGGAGTGGTGGAAAAATTAAAGCCCCATCCAAGAGGAAGAGATCGAACAAAGATGATGAGGACGATGATAGCGGAGAAGATGATGAGCGACCCTCCAAGCGATAAGGCTGGCCCCTTCACGTAGGTGTCATTCCCTTGAAACTCGGTTTTTGTTTTAGCAAAGAATGGTAGGATGCGAAATGCTGTGCATTCTATTTTTGGTTGTATTGTATCATCATGGTTCAGTACTATTTCTGTTACAGTGTAGTTTTATTCTGGTAATATGCTTCTCTGGGATGAAAAAGAGCATTCTTGGGGGTGGGGGGTTGCTTTAGGATTTGTGTAATTTTAGGATGTTGATTAAACTGTAAACTGAGCATGGTTTTACTAGTCTGGTTCTTCCTCTAAATTTCTACAGTGTTGGATGAGCTTGTCTTACTGCTATTTTGGATTGGGTTGGACTGGACGGTCCTATATTTTGTGAAAATGGGCTGGAATGGTTCTAGTCCAACTACCAACCTACTATTTTATCTCAAAATTTGAGGATTAAAAAAAATGCTATACACTACACGCTTCATTAAAATTCATCTTTAGTTTTTATATATGGATCAATTAAAAAAATAGCTGTCTAAATTATTTCTTTTAGATGGTTAATATTTTTTTCAAACCAAGTATTTACTGTTTTAAATTTATCATTTAAAGTGTTTGATTGTTAATAATAATTTAAAACAATTCATTATCCAACCAATGCTTAATATGTATCATATTGTTTTAAAAAATTATTTAGAGAAGTTAAAATCATTAATTTTTTAACCTAAAGTCTTAAAATCCTTTAAATTTTTAACCCAAATATCTAATCTTATATATTGTGAATCGATCACCATTAGTCAACTCTTTTGTCGGATCCCTGATTAATTATCTTGTCTTCAAAAGTAGTCGTATAAAAATTTAGAGATTTTAGGTTAGAAAATGAAGGGGATTTGAAAATTTAGAGATTAGAGATTCGAGGGTCTTGAGAAATTAGAAAATTTAATGTTTTTTAAAAAAATTAAAAATTGTGGTACTTTTTAAATTTTTGAAAAGTTTATATTAATAAAAAATTAATATTACATGTCAAACAATTATTGATTGATGAATTTTTAATGAAAATTGATGGAATAATTTAAAATAAAAAATGAAACTTTAAGATACTTAAGTGATAATCGAGAATTTTAATAAAAAAAGACAAAATAATTTACAAAATAATTTTTCAATAGTCTATATAAACTAAAGAGCTAAAGCAGTTCGGGCTGGAGTTAGATTAGAATGGTATGGGCCATGGGGTGATGAAAAATGGGTCCGGAATAGAGATGAAAGCTGAAGGAATAGAGTGGCATGAGAGGCATAGAATTTGAATAGGGGTGTGGTGTGGGACTGGGACTGGGGGATCAATCACTTCACTGTTCACCCTCACCCTCACCCTCACCCTCACCCTCACCGAATTAATGTCGGTGGAACACGCTCTTCACAATTTTCCCAACAGCTCATCCGTCAGTCACGCGTCCTCTTTAATCATTTACTATTTCCGTTTGATTAATTACTCCATTTTTAATGATATCTATTAAATATTTAATTTAAACTACAATCATGAATTTAAACTTATTTAAAATTTTTAATAAAAAACATAGGTCTCTCGTTTCTCAACTCTACATTGGACTCACTTATAATTAACAATTTTCATTTATTTATTCCTGGTTCTCCACAGGCACTGCTAGTTTCCAAAACCAAATCCATCTGCCCCTGTTCTTCGCTTCCTCGTCTTATCATTCCCTCTTCAAAAAAATAAAAAATAAAAAAAATAATTCTATCAGATCTGTAGTTTTTTTCTCTTATTAAATCCACTCTTCACTCTCAAATGCGCCTTCTTCTGGCGGCGTAACTTCACTTTTCATTTTGTGTTCTCTTTTACTGAAACTTCCAAATCATGGCGATCGTCGGCCCCATTACTACAGGTCAGGTACGTTGCCACTCACCTCAGCATTCTCATCACCTCTCGGATCTTGCATTTTCAACGTTTGAATTGTTTTCTAGGTTTCGTTTTTTCTCGGCATACTTCCGGTGATTTCAGCTTGGATCTACGCGGAATATTTACAATACAAGAAAAATACATCCGCATCCAAAGCGTAAGCTCTGAATTTCTACATTTTGTAATGTTTATTTTTTAAAATTAATCAATATATTTTATTGGTGAAATGTTTATTTGTTTTTCGTCGTATTTCTGTTAGTAGGCACTCTGATGTGAATTTAGTCGAAATTGGAAATGGTGCCGTTAAGGAGGAAGATAGAGCGGTTTTATTGGAAGGCGGGGGTCTTCAATCCGGTTCTCCTAAAGCGCGGTCTTCAACATCTTCCTTTCCGCCAATTCTCAAGTTTGTCATCGGTGCACTGATTTTTTTTTTCATTTATTTTCTATTTAGATAGTTACTGAATTTATATGCTTCGATTTGTTAAGGTTTCTTATGATGGATGAGACTTTCTTGGTTGAGAACCGATTGACGCTTCGAGCTATGTAAGTGAACTTTCAATTTGTTGATTAATGTTATGTAATTTAACTTGACCTCCCTTTGTATTGTTGTTTTTGCGTTTATCATCTTATAGATCTGAATTCGGTGTTCTTTTGGTATACTATTACCTATGCGACCGCACTGATGTGTTTGCCTCTTCGCAAAAGGTGAAGATGATTACTTTATTATAATATTTTATGGTTATATTATTTCAAGTTGTTGGAGGAAATGATAAAAATGTGAAAACTTCTCACTACATTTCAAATTTAGTTTCATTGCAATAACCAATCGTATAAAATGGTGTTATTGCTTGCTAATTAAGTTTCTCATTCATTATATGTCTCTGCAGAATTACAATCGGGATCTTTTCTTGTTCCTCTACTTTCTTCTCATCGTAGTTTCGGCAATAACTTCGTTCAAGATACACCATGATAAGCACCATTTTCAGGGAAATCTATACTTTATTTGAACAGACATCAAACTGAGGAGTGGAAAGGTTGGATGCAGGTTTGTAATTCTATGAAATGATCTAGTAAATATGTAAAATCTTCTTCTCGAGAGATTTGTCCAGTTATGATAGAATATGATTGTCTTGAAACTGCAAACACTTTTGGCTGATGCTGCTTATGCTTCAAATGTTCTAGCATTGCTACACAGGGATCGGTATACTTAGGCTTACTTTTCCCTCCTTTTATTTTACAGGTACTGTTTTTGATGTACCATTACTTTGCAGCTACAGAGATTTATAATGCTATCCGAATTTTCATTGCTGCTTATGTGTGGATGACCGGATTTGGGAATTTCTCGTATTATTATGTGCGCAAAGATTTCAGTCTTGCTAGGTTTGCACAGGTATGGCGTATTAGTTCCCCTAAAGCAAAAAATATCTGAACTCATGATAATATCTCCATGTTCCAAGTTCCAACATTGAGTATTTTGGCTGAACAGATGATGTGGCGGCTCAATTTCTTGGTATTCTTTTGCTGTGTTGTCCTTAATAATAGTTACATGTTGTACTATATATGCCCCATGCATACTCTATTCACTCTTATGGTTTATGGGGCACTTGGTATTCTGAACAAGTACAATGAGAAAGGATCAGTCATTGCTATAAAAATCATTGCCTGCTTCTTGGTAGTTATCCTAGTCTGGGAAGTGCCTGGAGTGTTTGAACTCCTCTGGAGCCCATTTACCTTTTTCCTTGGTGGGTAACTTTCCAAAGTATAATCTATATTTGAGCAATTTTCTGTCATATTGATGACAAATATATAAATAAAAACTGTTTCAGGATACACTGATCCCGCAAAGCCTAACCTTCCTTGCATGCATGAGTGGCATTTCCGCTCAGGCCTTGATCGTTACATTTGGATTATTGGAATGATGTATGCTTATTACCATCCAACTGTAAGTTCTGATTCAATTATTTTTCATCTTTCCATTGTATCTTCTTGGTATGAATTAATGCAATTTGTTTAGGAATAATGTACTTGGTTAGTAGCTATATTCGAATTTACTATTGCAGGTTGAACGGTGGATGGAAAAACTCGAGGAAACAGAGGTGAAGAGGAGAGTATCAATCAAAGTAGCAGTGTCGATAATTGCCCTTACGGTATCATATCTACGCCTTTTGATTTGCATTTCTTTTCTCAGAATTTCCTTCTATTATTCATGAAATTCTAATAAAATTTGTAGGTTGGATTTCTCTGGTTCGAGCACATTTACAAGCTCGACAAGATCACTTACAATAAGTACCATCCTTATACCTCATGGATCCCAATAACGTAGGTCCTCATAATGACTGTGTTATATTTGACATATCTGAATGTTTTGGCATTTACTGATCAACTCTTGCCCCTTATATCCATTAGTGTTTATATATGTTTAAGAAATGTTACCCAGTCCTTCAGAGGCTACAGTTTAACCCTTTTGCGTAAGTAGCCTTTAATTCATCTCTTCTTTTATCTTTTACTTTACGAATATCAACGAGGTCAAACTAATATTTGTCTTTTGTTTTCCAGTTGGCTTGGAAAGATTACACTGGAGACCTATATCTCACAGATCCACATCTGGCTAATGTAAGTTGAGGTTGACATCATAAGAATTCTTGACGTTTCGGCTGTTTGCAATGAGTTGATCCTTTAATTCAAACTCTTTTATCATAGCATACAATATCTTAATATCCTTTCAATGTGCAGATCCGGGGTTCCAGATGGTCAGCCCAAGCTGCTGCTTTCTCTGATCCCAGACTACCCGATGTTGAATTTCATGCTTACTACTTCCATATACCTTGCAGTAAGTAAACTGGTGTCATCGTTGGGGACTTCAAATATCTCTTTAGTCATCCACTGACATGTTTCTCTTGTCTGCAGATATCTTACAGACTCTTTGATTTAACAAATATACTGAAGTCAGCTTTTGTGCCAACCAAAGACAACAAGCGCCTCATCCACAACTTGATTACTGGTGTTGTAATCTCCAGCATATTATACTCGCTATCTTTCATGTTCCTCAGAATCCCTCAGATGTTGGTAAGATTTTTTTCTTCAATTCCTATCACCGAGAGTAGACCTGTCAATTTTTATCAGAACACGAAAACTTAACCCAATTAATTGGAATCTGAACCCTAGCCAAGCCTATTTGAGCACAAGAGTTTAACAAAATGTGTTAGCTGAAATCGAATCTGATTGCTACCCAAAATGACCTGAGCTCGAGTTGCAAACTCAAATGATAACCTGAAATGATCCAAACTCAAAATGACTTGATTAGTACCAAATGATTTAAACCCGAAATGGCCTATACCCGAAACAACTTGAAATTGTTTCAAACCTGAAATTGAGCCAATCACAAAGTGACTCG